AGCCATTAAAGTGGTACGTATAACTCAAGCAGCAGCAAAATGATTTCCAGATTGTTTTGATCAGCGGCACATACGAATAGCGCACATTCCAAATCCTTTTTCAAAAGCATCTCGAAAATCTAATGCGAGTAACAGATCTCACCTTCAGCAAACAAAAGGATTGCTTTGAGCAACACAAATTCGACATCGTCCATGGCCATCGTACGCATTGGGCCAACTACGTAGCTCATCAATCGAGGCATGCATTGTTTGTAAAAATCGACGATGCTGGAAAACGACGAGCTAAAGCTTTTCGTTTTCAATAGTGTTCGACTTAGCTCACCTCGGATGTCCACCTTCAACGGGATGGAATGCGCCGTTCGGGAAGCATAATCCAGGTGCACCACACTTCATGGAATAGTATGACTGACATAACCTGTGGAAAATAGATTATTACAGAAATGAGTGAAACCGGTTAAATGCAGAACAATGTGTGTATTCCAAAATGTGACCACAGATCTCCAGCACATGGTTATGCTATTATATTTGAACAAAGTTCAGTGTTGTATTTGCAAAGCTGTTCAGTCCAAAATAGACTACTAGATCGATTTGGTATTGTCCAGCAGAATAAACACGAGTTCCGAATGAGAAGCAGTTTTCCAAAGTTAGGCCAAAAAATGATTTCGGATTCACTGAGTTTTTCACAAGCAATACATGGCCTGGGTAAGAGATGAAAATCTTGTAACGAAGCCTTGCTCTAGAAGGGATGCCCAAGATATAGGCATGTCTGAGCCTAGCAGGCAGCCTCCACTTAGCATTTTGACAATTTGAAAGCAGGCTGTATTGTTAGAATCATTCAATCAAACATACAACTCCAAATGAAAAGTCAAATTTGTGCTACTTAATAAAGACTGCTGCCCCCTTTATATATTAGTACAAGTGCAGATATGACAGATCCGGACACAAATGATTGCAAATTTCACGCTAGCAAGACCTTCAACTTAATCGGCTATTTTTGAATTCCAAGTTGTTGCTTTAAGATGAATTCGATTTCTTCATAGCGTAGGTAAAGTTATAGAATAACATACGCCTAAAATAACAAGATGACTGCGTAATGTTTTTGCCAAGCTCTATCGAGCATAGGATGATTCCACATCTATAAAATGTTACATTCTGGTACAAAATAGAAGCTTAGAACATCGACTATT